GCAGACATTGCACTGATGGAATGGGCAGATAACCACAAAAAAATGATGGCTTGGGTATTTTCAGAAACTATTCTGTTTTTTTTTTAACCTTGTGGGGTCTGCTCCCTTTTTGTTTTAAAGTACCAAACACTGACCTGCATGTACTGGCAGAAAGCGTGGAAATTGTACTTAATAACTAACACAATAACCATCTCTTACAGACTGTTCTAGGGTGAAATAAGTGAAATAAAGAGCTTTTCTCTCCTGCCTGTGAGGCTTTGGCTCAAGTTGCCAGGGGACACAGAAACAAAGTGCCCTCAGTTGCTCAGAGACCTTGTACTGATGAATTTGCCCATTAAAGAAATAGCACTTGAGGAAGGAGTTCCCACCTTGCCTGCCTACCTGCAATAAAATGCCGCGCATTTTGTGGGATGGCAGAAACACGAGGTGACTGTAAAGTCAGGAGGCTGGTGTCCCTGGAGCAGCCTGGGTCATTCCCTTCGCCTCTACTGAGCAGAGCCCCATTTCCACGACAAACAAAAGGAGCATCAGAGCCAGAAGCCTCCACGCTGTAATGACATTCATCCCAGCGGGGCTCCGCTCCCAAGGAGAGCAGGCACCAGGAAATTATGTGCAATACATTTCAGTGATTTACAGCTCTGTGCTCGTACAAGCCCACTGTCAGCTCTAGTTACCTTACAGGCAGTGGCAGCTTCAAGCGATGTGGAGATTTCTTTCCCAGCTCACAACACACAATCCAGGCGGCAACATAAGTCCACAAAAAAAAAAATCCTAAGTCAGAAAGGAAAATGTAATTTCAAGGAGGGAAATGCACATCACCCCAAAAGACAGAAAAATCTAATAAACTGCTGGGAATTAAATCCTCTCCCACAACCCTGACAGTGAGAGGCTGGGGTGAAATGGCACCGTCAGTGTGTGGGACAGAGAATCGACTCGTGCCCACTTTCATGGCTACACAGCTAAAGAAGGGCTGCTATGAATGAGAAGTTACTTGGAGGCAAACAGCACTTAGTGAATCAACACCAAGTGTGGATGAGACAGAGCTAAATCCAGTGACAGCAAAACTCGGATTCATGTGTTTTGAGACCAACATGTTAAATCATTAAATATGCTTCTGTTTCTCACTATTCTTTATCATAGGGAATTACAACTCACCATTCAACTTGCAAAAATCTTAGTTAATTTTTAACTTACCTTCTTTATCTAATGAGAACTAAGGTGAGTTCTGTCTGTCACAGTGGGCACCTCTCCAACTTCTGCTTATAATTCTGAGTCGCCTTTCAGATGTCTCTTTTGCTCAGCATCGAACTTTGTGCCTTATCTCTTCACAGGGACCTATTTTCTTAATCACCCAGACTGAGACCATTTTACTTTCAATGCATTTAAGTTTTAGACTAATGACTGACCCCACAAACTCTGATTTTGGCTGCTTCAAAGCCCAGAGGATGGAAATTGGATGTTTCGTATTCATTTTTATTGTCCTTGTTGTACACATGATTGAAGGTCTAGGAAACACCAGGGTTCCCTATATTTCTACATGAGTCTTCTAGATGAGCCAGAGCAGAGCAAAGGGTAGAGTGCGTCTTTCACACTCTAGGCATACATCTACACCTGCTTATAGCCACAAATTCTTTGCAGCTAGACTTCCCAGGATTTCCTGTTCCCTCTTGACTTTATCAGACTTGGCAGGGAGAAAATACTCCAAACAATGTTTTCATTTTCCAGTTTCATTTCTGATATTATTTAAAGGTGCTCTTCTTTAGAGCTGGACAAGGAGCATACTCACAGGACATCTAGCAGCTGCCTTCACAGCTACTATACAGTGAGCTACTATTAGTTTAGCTACTATACAAACATGCAGAAAGACACAATTGCTATCCCTTAGGGGACATCTTTCCTACACGCCAGTGACACACATATGCATACAGACATAATTTAGATGCTGGGGGAAATTTTTCACTCAGAGTAGCACAGGCTGCCCAGAGCTGTGGTGCCCCATTCCTGGAGGCACTCGAGGCCAGGTTGAATGGGGCCCTGCGCAGCCTGAGCTGGTGGGGGGCAGCCCTGCCCACGGCAGGGGTTGAGATTGAGTAATACATCCCCGCCAGTGCATGTGGAAGTCCTCTGTGCTTTGTGCTCGTGCTTGCTCTGCAGCAACACAGACCTTTTCCCCTTCTTGTCACTGCCAAAGTGTGGGTAACAAACCTGGCTCCTTCCCTGCCCCTCCACCTTTGCTTGGCTCTTCTGATCCTCTTCTTCCTGAGCGGGAGTTGGCAATTCAGGAGGCATTGCATGCTACAGCAACAGCCAGATGTTTGGTCTTGACAGGCTCAGCATGAGATGAGATTGAAACAGCACAATAAAGATCACACTTAGGAGACTCCCCCTCCCCATTTTTTATCTCATGAAACTTTTTTTTTTTTTGTTTGAGGTACAGATGAATATAAGTACTATCTCAACCGTTGAGTTAATAACATGTAAAATGCACTCTTTGCCATGCACATAATTAGTCTTGCATTGCAAACATGAAATATTAATAAATAAAAATTAGCACCTTTGTTGTGGCTGTGTTTCAAACTGCTTTGAAAATTAATTAATTCCCAGCAGCTCGTGTGAGGCAGAAAACCATTATTAGCCTAGTTCTTACACACGGAGGCGGAGAGCTTTCTCCAAACCATAAGCTCCTTGTACAGCAGCATTGCCTTGCTCTTTAAATAGCACTGTTGACTACTGGAGCTCAGATTACTATGCAAAGGAAATTGGCTTCCTTTCCTGGATACGGAAGGAGCTGGGAGGAGGGCTGTCAATTCAGAATGGGGGAGGTGTCTCCTCCACAAGCACTGGGGAACAAGGAGTAGGAATGGCTCAGGCCCTGCCCAGCAGCAGCAGGCTTGTGTCCTGAGATGTCAAGCAGCCTGAGATGTCAAGCAGCACAGGGCATGCAGTCTAAGCAGCAACTGCTGTGCCAGGTTTTCTAGTGCTATTATATGGTTCCTCTGGGCCAAGATTCTGAAATCTGTCAACTCAGCCCAGGCTCAGCCCTCAAAGCCTGGGCTAGGAGCCCCGAAGCCCCTTCCTGGGGCCAGATGCTTCAGGAGCAGTGATGGGCGTCCCATGCCACCATGCAGCTCCCTGCCAAGAGGCTGCTTTTTGTATGATGAAGATGTTTTTGGAGGCTCCTCACATCAGCAGAGCAGCCCGAGAGTCCTAGCTACTGGCCCAGACAGCTCTGCAACATGCCCATGTAGCCTTGCTCCATACGAGCTGCTTCTTGCAGGGACACAGCTAACAGTGCAAACAACAACTGAGTTTTCTGGGGCTGGAATTTAAAACTAAAATGCCCACAGCGTTCACCAGGTCTTAGTAAGGAGCGTGACCCACCAGAACCTGCCTAGATGCCCAGACACAAGCTGCCCCTCCCTGCTTACAGGGAACGTGAGAACTCCCAGGGCAAAAGGCCCGGCTGCTTCGGTTCATTTGTTTGTTTGAGGTAACTCCATGGAAGAAGGGAAATAAAAAAAGGGCACTCAGGGTTGCTGATGCCAGGTAACAAAGGCCACTTTCAGCAGGGCTGTGGCTTAGCTTGGACTCAGCTCACCTTGTGCCAGATCTTCTCACAACGAACCACTTCACACAAGCCTTGTTCCCAGCCCGCTTTCACATTTTTACTCAGCCTCGGTCCCCAGTCTGCTAACAGACAAACTGCTCTCCTTCCATGCTGGTAGCAGGCAAAACGAAGCAGGCCACCCCCTACAGCAGTTTCTCGGGCCGAGTAAGTGCTTTGAATCAAGTGCAGGGGACTCTATGCAACCAGAGGTTCAGTTTAACTTCTGTGTCAATCCTGAGGAGAGAAAAGCTTTCAGAATCAGAAATAGTTTTTGCAGAAGTATGCTACCATTTCACTGGAGCACAGCTGTCACCACCTTTGCTTCTGCAGGAGCACAGGCAGCAGTCAGATGTTTGCTAGGTGAAAACCTGTCTGCTACATATAACTAATGTAACTCAAAAAGGGCCGAGCATGTTTTTCCAACTCAGGAGAGGCTTAGGGACCTCCCACATCAGCAGGCCAGCTCTAACCACTGCCTGCAATAAGTTCCTGACTGCTTTCCATGACCCTGGCACTCTCAGGTGCCCACCTTGCTCACCTAACTGACAGCCATGAAGCACGAGCAGGAGCAGCATGGAGCTTTTGGCTATGACTTTCCACCTTCTGCCATATGGAGAGGGAGAAATAGGGTTTTGGTTGCTGGTAGGAGGGGTTCCTCCTTCCCCTCTGTTCTGAGCAGCAGGCCTGTGAGAAGGCACTCACTTATTACTGATCTCAGTGGGAAAAACCAACAGGGTTTCAACATGCATTTTGCCAAAAGGAGAAAGATAAAAATGAGAGAGGGGAAATGCCCACACTGAATTAAAAGGGCAAAGCAGAGCCCCAAAGGACTGCTGGTGGTCTTCCCAGCACCTTCAACCATCTTTGCCCTCTGGCCAGCCCAGGTGTGCCCAGCTGCACTCTGCAGCCTCCTTGCCCAGTCAGGACAGCACTGGCAAGCACTTCTGCTCACAGGCTGTCTTGATGACGGGTCTTAATTTGTAGAAGAAACCAAAACAACAGGGAGCAAAGGCCAGCAGAGCTTGTGAGATCTGTCAAGTGGTCCAAACACTATGTGAGACCACACAGTGGGAGGGCAGAGGCTGTTGAGACACCAAACCTAGCACCCTTTCTTTCTTCAGCTCTTTTCATCTGGCTAACAGGTTTGTTCAGGTTTTCCAGCAGCACCGTGTAATAGAAAAGTAGCTGCTCCCCTTTCCAAATGTTCATTTAACTTCGGTTTACCATAGCATTCATTTTATACCTTTGGCGTGCTGTTTTGTCCAGACTGCCAGAGAAACTAATGTCAAAGAGTAATCAGTACGGATGTCTGAAAACTCCCTGAAACACAAAGCAACTCCTAAGGCATATTTAATAAAATAAATAATAGTGAGGTTATCTATAAACTGTCATATCATTCCGAACAACAGTTCCTCGGAAGAGCCCAGGGTAATTCTTGTGAAACAAACAAATATAAGAGTGTTGACAAATGGAGTGTTGATAAATGTAAGAGTAACCTGGACAGAGTTCATTGGAAGTGTTGTGGGTAATGCTCAGGAATAATAATATTTAAAAAAGAATAATCTGTAGAGGCAAGCAGAGTGGAAAGTAAGATGGTCAGAAAACTAGAGACAATTCATTTGTAGAAAAGCTGATCCCTGAATGTCAAAGATTTACCTCAGTGTGGAAGAAGCTGCAGTTTCCAAGCACTAAATGTTTTGCAGATATCCAGACACACAGCCGAAAAGCTCACCTCCACCAGTTCAATTCTTCAACTCTCTCCTTTCTGATAACTAACATGGTTGGGAAACTCAGTGCCCAACCCTGACCTATGCCAAATTTTTTGGGAAGACCAACAGTATGGAACTTTGGATCAATATTGTAAGAAGTGCTTTGAGCTCTGCTATCACTTTAGAAAGGAACAAGGTACAAAGGGCAACACTTTTTGCTGCCCTTCTCCTCTCTGCCCTGCATGAAACGCACAAATGTCCCTTGAGGATCCAGTGTTCCACTCCTGAGAAATTCAGAAAGCAAGCACGGCAGGGGTTCAGGAGCTCCCATCAGTGTGCTCTTTTATGCAGTTGACACAAATCTTTTAAAATAAGATCTAAAAGCCAATGCCAGATCCCTGCACAGCTCAGCAATACCGAAGCATCTGCCTGAAGCAAGTTACAGAAGGGAGGTGGCAGTTTCGGGAGCCTGAGATGACGGCGTCATCCTAACTCACTCAGGAGAATCCCCCGTGGAAAGCAAATTCCTTGAAAATTGCCTGGAGTCAGAGATTCTCTCGTGCGACATATTTGCACGCAGCCTAGGTCTCCTTTTAACATACTTTGCCTTTTGTCTTGTTTTTTTGGCTTCAAGCAACAGCCCAAATGAAATGCTGGAAACAATGACGGCATTAAAGGAAAATGTCATGGCTATCAATATACGCCTTTGTGGCTGTAGGAGTGGAGAGCACCGTGATGTCACTGGTGGGAACAGCTTAAAATTTTCCATTGAGAAAAGGAATCCAGCTTTCATAGAGCCAACACGTTCCAAAAGATGTGCCATGCCATGCGGTCACACAGACGAAGGTTTCGCAGCAGTGCAGCACAGGCTGGGAGGCTGATTTAATTCAGAAGTTGCAGAAACAACTTGCATTTATTTACCACGGAAGCATGTAGCACAAGCTGCCATGCGCATAGAATTCAATTCTGTGAGCAGAGATGTTGAAGATAGCACTGTCTGTATGTTGACAAATTACCATAGGCCAGGTCTGGACCACTCAACTCTGCAGATGAACCCTTCCCTAGGCTGTCCAGTCTGACTGTGTGACTTTGCATTGGATCTGGTTACAGGTGATCTCTGGAGTTTGCTCCAGCTCATCTGGGAACACGCTGGGGGCTGTCCAATGGATTCCAGCTGATTTCAAGGAGACAGCAAGGAGATTGGTCTGCTATGTTGGTGATGGAGGTGTTAATTAGTTGGTTTATCTGAAGTGCCTTGCAAACAGCAGAGTGATGTTTCAGAAGGATCCTCATCACCCCCCAGCAGCCAGTTAGTTGCTCAATTATCTTAAGTGCATCATTTGACATCTTCCTGAATAATGGCTCTCTCCTGTGACAGGTATTAGAATTTAGATTCAAGTAAACAGTTCTTGAGTTTGAGAAGAGCCAAGACTGTGATGTTTACTTCCAGATCTGGATGTCATGCTCCTAAAATGCCCAGGCCACTGGGTGTTGCTGGTTCCTCGCCGGGGAATAAGCAGAGGTTTCATTTCTGGGCTGGGGTGAAAGCTACTGAAAAACACTTCAGCACAAACTTGTGACTTCCCCACCTGGGAATGAGAGCAAAAACAGAGTCTCGGGGAGTGAAGTTTGCCAAGCCTTCTGGTTTTCTTCTCTAGGAGCACAATTTCTGCTCTTGTCAGGATCAAACCTGAAGGAAAATTAGGGCAATTAACAACATTACAACAAACTTTATAATGAGAAAGCACATGCTCCTGTCAACATGTTCTGGGATATATAAGGACTTCCATGATCTACAGGGTTTTTATTGCTGCTTTTGTTGGAATGCATCAGTGGGTATGAACCAGGCCAAGTAGCAAGCCTGCTTTCCTTTGAGGTCATTCTCTATCTCTGCAGCATTGCAATTGCTGCACACACACACACACACACACACACAGACGAATGGTTGAGGTGGGAAGAAGCCTTTGGAAATTGTCTGGTCCAACCATGTCATGTAGCGACACAGAAAGCAGGTTGCGCTGGTCATGTCCAGGTGGGTTTTGAGTATCTCCAGGAAAGGAGATTCCAGTCTCTCTGGACAGCATGTTCAGTACTCTGTCATCCTCACAGCAGAATAGTTTTTCCTCATGTTCAGACAAAGCTACCTTTGTTTAATTTTGTGCCCACTGACTCTTACCCTGCCACTGAACACCATAAAAGTGTCTGGCCCCATCCTCATTACACCATCCCTTAAAATACATTGATACATATCAAGATGCATTGTCTTCTCCAGGCTCAGCTCTCTCAGCCCTTCTTTATAGGAGAGATACTCTGCCACTGGACTCTTTCCAGTAGTTCCACATCTTTCTTATACTCAGAAACCCAGAGCTGGACACAGTACTCCTTGCACTTGCCTTTGTTGAACTCCATCATGTTCCTCTTCACTTAACTCTCCAGTCAGTCCAGGTCTCACTGAATGGCAGCCTTCTGGTGTGTTGGCCACTCCCCCCAGTTTCATATCATCAGCAGAATTGCTGAGAGTGCACTAAGTCTCTTCATCCAGGTCACTGAAGAGTAAGCTGAACAATACTGGACCCAGTACCAACCTCCAGGGAACACCACTAGCGTTAGGCCTCCATTGGGACTCACCAGTGATCACAAGACCCTGAGACTCACCATTTAGGCAGTTCTCAATCCACCTCACCATTCATTCATCTAACCCACACTTCCTGAGCTTATCTATGAGGATGTTATGGGAAACAGTATTAAAATACTTGCTCAAGTCAAGGTTGACAACATCCACTGCTCTTCTTTCATCTACCCAGCCAGACATAGTAACATAGAAGGCCATCAGTTTGGTTGAGCACGGTTCCCCTTTTATGCATCCGTGCTCATCATGACTACATGATCACCTTCTTTTCCTCCACAAGCTTGGAGGTGACATCCAGGATGAGCTGTTCCATTACCTTTCCAAGGGCAGAGGTAAAGCTGACTGGTCTGCAGTTCCTTAGGTCGGCCCTCTTGCCGTTTTTGAACTGGAGTGGCAGTTCTGGAAGGAAACTGGCTTTCCTCTAATCCTCAGACACCTTTTCTGTTCTTCATGACCTATGAAAGGTAACAGAGAGAAATAATATATGCCAACTCCCTCAGCAATTGTGGGTGCACCCCTTGGGGCCCATAGATTTGGGGGTGTCAGATTTGCCTACATGATCTATAATGCAGTCTTCCTTGACCAGTGGAAAGTCTTCCTTTCTCTAGAATTTCTCTCTGGTCACACAGATCACAGAATCACAGAATGGCCCAGGTTGAAAGGGACCTCAAGGATCATGAATCTCCAAGCCCCTTGGCACATTCAGGGCCACCAGCCTTCATGTTTAACACCAGACCAGGCTGCCCAGGGCCCCATCCAATCTGGCCTTGAACACCTCCAGGGACGGGGCATCCACCACCTCTCTAGGCAGCCTGTTCCAGCACCTCACCACTCTCATAGTAAAGAACTTCCCCCTGACATCCAACCTAAATCATAGAATCATAGAATCATAGAATCACCAAGGTTGGAAAAGATCTAAAAGATCACCCAGTCCAACAGTTCACCTATTCCCAATAGCTCCTACTAAACCATGTCCCTCAACACAACATCCAGTCTTTCCTTGAACACCCCCAGGGTCGGTGATTCCACCACCTCCCTGGGCAGTCCATTCCAGTGCCTGACCACCCTTTCTGAAAAGCAATACTTCCTAATGTCCAGCCTGAATCTCCCCTGCCGTAGCTTGAAGCCATTCCCCCTGGTCCTATCACTAATGACACGAGAGAAGAGGCCGATCCCCAGCTCACTACAACTCCCTTCAGGAAGTTATAGAGAGCAATGAGGTCTCCCCTGAGCCTCCTCTTCTCCAGGCTGAACATTCCCAGCTCCTTCAGCCTCTCCTCATATGGCCTGTGTTCCAGACCCCTCACCAGCTTTGTTGCCCTCCTTTGAAAATGTTCCAGGGCCTCAATATCTTTCTTGCAGTGAGGGGCCCAAAACTGGACACAGTACTCGAGGTGCGGCCTCACTAGTGCTGAATATAGGGGAAAATCTTCCCCCCTTCAACTTAAAACCATTTCCCCTTGTCCTGCTGTTATCTACCCTTTCAAAGAGTTTACTCCCCTCCTGTTTGTAGGCTCCCTTTAGGTACTGGAAGGCTGCAATGAGGTCACCCTGCAGCCTTCTCTTCTCCAGGCTGAACAAGCCCAGCTCCCTCAGCCTGTCTTCACAGGGGAGGTGCTCCAGCCCCCTGATCATCTTTATGGCTCTGCTCTGGACCCTCTCCAACAGCTCTCTGTCTTTCTTGTACTGGGGGCTCCAGACCTGGACACAGTACTCCAGAGGGGCCTCACAAGAGCAGAGTAGAGAGGGACAATCACCTCCCTGTCCCTGCTGGCCACCCCTCTTCTGATGGAGCCCAGGATGCCACTTGCTTTCTGAGCTGCAAGGGCACACTGCTGGCTCATGTTAAGCTTTTCATCCATCAGGACCCCCAGGTCCTTCTCTGCAGGGCTGCTCTCAAGGACTGAATGCGTACAAGTCCATGGTGCCAGATGGTGTGCATCCCAGGATTCTGAAGGAGCTGGTTGAGGTAATTGCTGAGCCGCTCTCCATCATATTTGAAAAGTCGTGGCTGTCAGGTGAGGTCCCAGATGACTGGAGGAAGGGTCACATCACTCTCATTTATAAGAAAGGGAGCATGGAGGACCTGGGGAACTGCAGGCCGGTGAGTCTCACTTCTGCACCTGAGAAGATCATGGAACAGATCCTCCTGGACTGCATGCTTGATCACGAGGAATGAGCGTGTGATCCGAGACAGCCAGCACAGCTTCACCAGGGGAAGGTCATGCTTAACCGATTTGGTGGCCTTCTACAATGGAGTGACAGCATTGATGGACAAAGGGAAGGTGACCAGCGTCACTTACCTGGTCTTTAGGCTCTGGGATTCCTGAGGGCTGGCCTTAGCAGTAGGCAATCAGTCCTTATCTTCACCAAGGCACCCATTCAATTCAGCAGCAAGCACTCATTTTCCTTAGTCTTCCTTTTGCTACAGACGTACGTGAAGAAGAAATTCTTGTCCTTGACATCCCTGTTGAGATTTAATTCCAAATGGGCCTCATTCTTCCTCACTGCATCTGTGGATACTTTGAAATGACCTAGGCAATTCGGGGACAGGGTTCAGAGTGCCTGTTTGCACTGCAGAGAGCAGCATGGCCCTGCACCAGCCAAGCTGGCTCTGAGTGAGCTGCCCGAGGCAGGGAGGACATGACCCACTCTGGCACACCTCTGCAGCCAATATGAAACGTAGCTGGCTGAGATCTTTGGCAGGCTGGAGCATTTGTGCAGGCAGAGCTACATTCTGCTCCGCTACGTGGTGCCTAAACTGAGGTCTCAGACTTTGGAGCAGACTGGAATACCCTACAGCCCTCTGCTTCTAGCTTTCTTTGTGGCATGACTGAGACCACTGGAGAGAATGCTATGGACCTGTATATTCTTGCAGCTCAGATAGTGCAAATCTTGCAACATCCCTGTGAACTGATCTTTTTGTTAGGATAATGACCTACCCCAAAAGTCAAGTTGCTACAGCTTGAATTCATTGAGCACTCCTGGTTGTAACGAAAGGGCCATCAAAGCTTACATTCCCAAAGCGTAGCTGGATTTGGCTTAGTGAGAGCAATGAAGTAATAACAATTCTTTCTATCATTAAATTCAGCCAGCTCAGTTTGGGTATGTTCAGGAAGCAAACCAATTGAGGCTGAAGTTAACCAGGCACATTTCAGGGTAGATTTGTATTGTAAAATGCAGCAATTCTGGGTTGTTAGAGTTCCTTCACAAAACTCCTGTGCAATACTAGCAAGTGGAGGGTCACACCAAATGTCTACCATATGCTGCACATATCCAGTTTCCTCTCACAGTTTTCATTGTATTGCATTCTGATTTTTTTTTTCCTTTAAGATTTAATTCCCTATACTGTTGTTGGAAGTATACAAAGTTACAGCAATGGAAGGAATTTCACCTGTTCAAACCTAGTTTGAGGGATCCAGGCATAGCTGGTTTTTCTATATTGCATAATAAACATTTCACCTCTTATCCCTCCAAGGTATGGTAGTCATTTCTTTCATATTCTTGTACATATCTACAGTACCCATGGTTATGCTACACGGGGCTACGGTGACACAAGAACTGTCAGCTTACTTAACAGAAGTATGTAAATGAATGTCACTACCACCTCTAATGTCAAGCAAAAGTCAACACGAAAGATTTTATTCCACCAAAAGTCTTGGTCTGCAGGTCACCGTCCCCCTTTCAGCCTACCGCAGCTATTCCAGGAAAGTCAACAGACCCTGGCAGGTCACTTCCTCCAGGTGGGTCAACAAAAGATACTGCTGACTTCATTCAGACTTTAGGAGTATAATTGTTCTAACTGGGAAAGTGTACGCAGAGCAAATTTCATTTGGCTCAGACACACTTAGCCAAATTACAGCAAAAAACTTTCTCTGTTATGTTTTCCCCTAAAAGGATAAAGACTAAGCCAAATTGCTAACTTGACCAAGTTTTTAACAAAGTACATCAGCCAATTCCATAGTTAAGTTTCTCACTTGGAATTTCTGTACACGCTGACAAAAGCTCACCTGTCACAACCTGTGGCCCACTGTCAAACGCCACAGCTTTTAAATTTTATGCAACTTCCTGATGCAGCTCCTGAGATTTAGGCAGAATTGTTAGTTTCAAGAGTACTGTTCTCAGGAAAGTTGTTGACGACATTTATCAGCCAAAAAAGAAAGCAAAAGACATCACGTCAAGTAGCTTAAAATAAACAAATAAAGGCTTGGGAGGCTACTTCCATTACTTCTTACCCAGGCAACTTTCCTTGAAAGTAACCCCTGTGAACTATTCCAAAACCAAATTACTTTTCTTGTTGTAAGGAAGGCAGAAAGATTCAGGGTGAGGACTGTTAAGAGCTAAATGGGTAGTTTTACAGTGATGCATTCTTTCTCTCTTTCAGTCTTACGAAGAGCACAAAGTATTTTAAACTCTCATTTGATGTGTAATGTAGAAGTTTGTTCTTACGCTTAGTTATCTGCTCATAGACATGGTAACTTTGTCAAGCTAAGATATTTCTGCAGCTATTAGAAAAACGGACATTTTAATATTCCACTTGAGCACAGTAGAAATGTGAATGCCAAAAGCTCTTGAATAAGAACTCGTCCTTCAAATCAGCAATAGGAACAATAGCTTTCTTGAATCTATAGCTACAGCGAAACATGAGTAAACTTTCATCTGAACATCCATGGACTATGGAACAAACAGGTGCCAAAAGGAACATGATTTCAATTTCTCCATTCCTTCCAATTTTATGGAACATGTAGTACAGATCTCAAGAACCATGGCTTCAGTTAGACATTTGGCTGCTCATATCCAGGCAGCACTACACCAGAATTCACTTGGGTTACAAGGATGAGGAGACCATACAAAAGACTGTATGGGAAGTGTACAGGTACTCTCCAGTCAATCTTTATATGCTTGCCATACTTCAGACCACTAGTTACACTCAAACTAATTCCAAAACAATCAATAGATTGCTTTGAGACTTCTCTCAACCCTGAAGAAACTTTCCAGTATTTCTTATTTTTTGATGGCTAATTAGAAGATATGAACCAATGTATGAAGATGGTGTCTTTTCAGCAGCCATTTTTCTTTTCTTTATCCTTGTTTATTCAGTGGTGTTTTAATCCAAGTTAACTATGTCTCTAGCAGCAAATCATGTTCTAAATGACAATTAATTACGCTAGCAGGAATATAATTGGAGGGAGAATATCCAATCACTTCTACTTGCTGTAGCATACACTGACCAAAAGCAGCAATGAAGAAGACACACTGCAGAGCACTATTTGAAAGGAGTGAAGTATTATGGAGCATACCTGGTCCGCATAGCATAAGAGCAGCAGAGATTCCTCCCTTGGAGATGAACACAAGAAGCAGCTGTGCCATCAGATCTGCTAGAAATTGCTGCCTGATTTGAAAGTGCGCATAGGATCATGAATAAATCATTAACATCTCACAGTGGAAGTCTTCATTGGGCTCCACACACATCCTTGGTGGCTCAGTAGAAGATGTGCAGTGCTTCCTTTATCAACCTACAAGTGGAAACATGGGGTGTGCAGGGGAGGAACACGACTATGTGCGAAGCCTTGCCGAGCCTTGGGTAGATAACTCCAAATTGTGTGGTGTGATGGATACACCTGAGGGATGGGATGCCATCCAGAGAAGTCTAGACAGGCATGAGCAGTAGGCCCAGGTGAACCTCATGAGGTTCAACAAATCCAAGTGTAAGTTCTTGCACCTGACACATGTCAACTCCTGCTATTAAAACAAGCTGGGGGGATGTAAGGATGGAGTGTTGTCCTGACAAAAAGGACTTGGGGGTACTGGGAGACGGGAAGCTGGACATGAGCCAGCAATGTGCCCTCACAGCACAGAAAGTCAACCGTATCCTGGGCTGCATCCAAAGAAGCGTGGCCAGCAGGGTGAGGGAGGTGATCTTGTCCCTCTGCTCTGCGCTGGTGAGACCTCATCTGGAGTACTGCGTCCAGATGGGGAGTCCTCAGTACAGGAGAGATGTGGACTTGTTAAACCATGTCCAGAGGAGGGCCTCAAAAGTGATCCAAGGGATGGAACACCTCCCATAAAAGGATGGGCTGAGAGAGCTGGTGCTGTTTTCTCAGTCTGGAGAAGAGAAGGGTCCTGGAAGACCTGAGAGCAGCCTCTCAGTATCTGAAGCGGGGGAAGGAGGCATAAGAAGGAAGAGGACAGACTCTTTAGCAGGGTTTAGCATAGTTATAGACATGGGGAAAATGGTTTCAAACTAAAAGAGGGAAGATTTAGACCAAATATAAGGAAAAAGTTTCTTACAGTACTGGTGGTGAGGCACTGGCACAGGTTGCCCGGTGAGGCAATGGATGCCCCACCCCTGGAGACATTCAGGGTCAGGCTGTATGGGGCTCTGAGCAACTTGATGTAGCTGTTCATTGCAGGGGAATTGGACCAGGTGATCTTTAAAGGTCCCATCCAACTCAAACATGACGGGGTGACATAGCCTCTCCATTCCCTGAGCCCTTCATCTTGCATGGAGGCACAGCACTGTGGATGCCAAGTGTCTGTCAGCCTTTCAAACACCCCAGCAGACAGGCCACATATCAAATGTGCTATTTGCCAGGGCACACTTTTATTGATTTTTTTTTTTTTTTTTAAAGAGCAAAACATTGGCAAAGGTTTATCTGATTGCCTGTCACCAAAATCAACACAGCAAATCTCAGGCATTCATCCTGTACATTCTAAGCAATAACAGAGAAAGCTTATTTAAATTCACTCACCTTACAGCAATGTTTCTGGGAGAGCTGCACTGTATCAGTTTTTGAAGCGCTATGCAAGACTGAAACACCAGGCAAACAGCACAGCCAGTTCTGGCACTTAGAGAGGGTTATCTGGGGTTCAAGAACTGCCTCATGCAGAAGCAGGCATTAGCAGCTATTGCAGCACTGGTATTCTGTATATTTCCCAGAGCTGAAAAGTACTCAGATGGGACTGTTCATCGCAACTCTTCCTCCAGCCCTTGCATTGTTCAGGCTCTCTTTTCTTCAGCCCGAACAATTTGAAACCAGAATGATGAAAAAATAGTGCATTATGTTTTCAGCAGTCTCACATCTGCCACAAGGAAAAAGAGCAAGTCCTTCTCAACAGGAGGAAAACATCCCCATCCACTAGATCTAGCGGACAGCTCTCTTTCAGCAAGCCTTAGGAAAAACATGCTCCTAAAAAGGCAGTAATAAACTGAGATTCAGCCTGAAAGAATGCAGGCTGGTATGTTTTTGGGAGGAGGGGGAGAACGGAAAGGGAGGAGTACAGAATAAGAGGCACTTGAAGTCGTGAAAAAGCTGAGAATCTGTAAACAAACTGAAAAACAGTGAACAAAATGCACTACAGCTGGAAACAAAGAAAAAAAGTCCCCAAGCTTGGGGAATCTGTGCTGCATATGCACAATGCAATTCCTAGTTTGCAATGAGACTAGGAAAAAAATAATTAAGGGATTTAAAGCTGTTGATGGCAAAAAAAAAAACCCCGTGCATCTTTATTTTGCAATTTTACAGAAGACCTGAGGGTTTTTAATCTCTTGCAAGCTCTTGATGAAGCTTGAAGCAAGAGTCTTGAAGCCCCAAGGAGTCAGGACTGGTATCCTGTGCCAGGCATACTGGCTGCACCCAGGGGGCTGTGGTTTGAGGGATGCTACAAGGAAATGAGGCCTGGGAATTTGCTTTTTGTAACCATGATCCGTATGCACAAAAAGCTTCCAGCATTACACTGAGTTTCAAGAAGCATATGTAATGTAATATGTTTATCTTCTTGAATTTGTTTCTTCAGTGTTGTGCTGTCAGTGCTGTCATAAATCTACTGGGCTTACTTGGGCCCTTTGGGCCCTGTTTTTGTAAGATCCTCTTTTCCTGTTGCAGGTATGTTTTAAGTCCTGGGTTGAGCACCAGAAGCTGCAACAGCAAAGATCCGTGAACCACTCCCATCTCTGCCTGCTACAACACTGAGCAGAAAAATAAGATGATCTCATCAGCACTTGCTCGTGTCACGAAAATGCAGAGGGGAAGACAGAGTGCTCAGAAAAGCATCTTGACTCAGCATGAGCACCCTGTGTCACAGCAGGTTTCCTTCTGCAGGGGTGCAAGTTGCTATGCCAGTCAGTGTGGAGTTGGGGTGGTATTCCTAGTGGCAGGAGCCTGGCTGTAGTTGTTTCAGCAGGTTTCAAGAGCCCAGCCAAGCGTTTCCCCCTGGGCTGCGGTATACAACATGGAGAGTTGAAGCTGGTGCTTTCCCACTCAAGCATTATTGATCTGGCCCTGGAGGAGCAGATGAGTAGCATGAGTAAAACCAGAGCGTTGCCCCCAGGCATGGATCTTGCTTACACTTCTTAAGTACACACAAAAAAAACCCCAACCCAACAACATGATTTTGCTTTGGGTGTCCATCAATGTCTGGATATCCCAGGAAGATTTTTGAAGCCATCAGCCCAGGTTAACCAGTTTTGAGAAAAGAGCTGGTATTTCCAGGCAGAGCGCGCGCTACCTCTTGGGCTGTGCATGGCTTGGGGGTGGGTGTGCTGGGAGACACGGAGCAGCGTGCTGCGTGCCCCTTCATGCTTACCTTCCAGAAACAGGGCCTGGGACCAGAGGGAACATGCTAGAAGAAACACGGTGCAGACAGACCTCATGATGTCCCAGACTCTGGAAAAACTTCAGTTGAAGCTTTTGTTTGTATAGTCAAGGCCAAGACATTGATCATAGAAAAGCATGCATTGTAGCCCTTACACCCACTACTCTTCAGCTTTCCTACCCAACTTCTAAGGATGCTCGACCAGCCTGCTTTGCTTCAAGAGTGTAATACTTAAGCAAAAGTGAGGTCACATCTAACGGGCATAAAATCATACATTTCATAGTTTATAAGAATTTTCTCCTGTCTACATATTCACATGTGCCACAGGGTTTTCTCAAGGCCTTCTCTCCACAGCCAGGACACTGAAATCACAAAATGATCTAATGCATTTTTCTTTGCTCTCATTTCAATGTCCCTGCCCTTTTCCACTGCATTTCCTACACATGAAGCATGCTTCTCAGTACTCATTTTCAACACTCTTTCTTCTCTAATTCTGCTTTAGCCTACTCCTTCTCCTCATTCTTTCTTTTTGCCTGTCTTCTGTTTATCAGTCCGCCTTCCCTTCTTCTGTCCTATTTCAAAATCTCTCTGCCAGCCAGACCTGCTATCTCTAAAGCATAATGCTGTCAGCTGTAATAGGACATAACCTATCTCCCATGGCTTTCATCTTCACATCTTTTTTTTCCGGGGGGGGAGGGGCTGCATTCTCTTTCTGTTCACAAATCCCAGTTCCTGTTTCAGTCTCTTTCCCTGCACTTCGCTTGAACTTCTCTTTCCATTGCTCACCGCACACATTCTACTCCAGCCCCTCCTTGTGTTTCTCCTCCACTTTTTCATCTGTCTGTCACAAGACAAACAAGCTGCCTAATCTACCATCTAGCCACTATTGAGCTTTCCAGTCCACACCCACTGCTGTTGTAAGTGAGCACCTAATACATAGTAAGATTGGAATCTCTCTCATTCTCTCCCCCCCCCCCCCCCCGTCTTTTCAAACTGTGCTGAAAAGATTGATATGTTTTTTCCAGTAGTTCCGCCTCCGCCTCCCATGCCCCCAGATGTGTTGGAGAAACAGAGTGCCAGGGACGTGGATTACAGAGAACTGTAGTTAGCACTCATTCTTTTAAACACATGAGAGTTGTACTGTCTCTGTCTCCCAGAAGAGGAGATGAGGCCTGATGTAATGATTTTTATGCCAATGGAAAGACTGATAGTAAACTCAGCAGGAGCAGGACATGGGACAAGAGGGGTTGCAAAATGAAGTGTGGAAAAAGAAATGGATGTGGGAGAGATTTGTAGAAGATACAGGAATTAAAGGGTCATTAGAAGAAGCACGCAGATAGAGTGGTCTTCTCCCTTGTACTCAGGATCTCCCTTGAAATCTGTATTTCTCTAAAACAAATCAGCAATCCCCGGGGTCAGCCTCCAGGGGCTGACCTAGAGAGCATGTTAAAGGAGGATCCACTCCTTATGACTCCAGCTATTTATTTGCCACAGTTCATAAGAAAGCCACTTTCCCACAGTTGCTGCTTTCCTCAAAGATGCGTGCTGTTATAGGGAAAAACAAAACAAACAAACAAACAAAAAACCAAAACCAAAAACAAAAAATAAACAGAAATGTAGAACTTCTGCTTCACCCATACTGAATCACAGCAGAGGCTCATGCAGGTCTGGAAGGAATTTGATATCCCTGACAGTAGTAAAGAGGATCTGCTTCTCTCCATCCCAAAAACTTCCATAAAACCAGAAAACACAGAGACACTCGTATTGGAATCCCTGGTCTTTCCACAAGGCTTCTTCTGAGGGCTTGGGGATGTCTTCAGTCCCACGATTGAAGAGGGACAAAGATGAGGTCATAGAATCTTAGGATGGCTTGACTTTGAAGGGACCTCTAAGGTCATCTAATTCCAGTCCCCCTGCAGTGGGCAGGGCTGCCAACACTAAATCAGAATGCCCAGGAATCAATCAAGCCTGGTGTTGAAAACCTCCAGGGATGAGGCATCCGCACTTTCTCTGGGCAGCCTGTTTCAGTGCCTCACCACCCTCTGAGTGAAGAATTTCCTCCTAACATCTAACTGAAACCTCCCCTCATTCAGTTTAAATCCATTTCCTCTTGTCCTATCACTATCTATCTGCATAAAATAGTCAGTCTCCCTCCTGCTTGTAAGCTTCTTTCAAGTACTGGAAGATTACAATCAGACCCTGGAGCCTTCTCTTCTCCAAGGTAAACAATCCCAACTCCCTCAATCTTTCATCATGTGAGAGGTGCTCCAGCCCTCTGATCATCTTCATGGCCCTCCTCTGGACCTGCTCCGTTGTCCTTCTTGCACTGCAGGCCTGGACACAGTACTCCAGATGTGGCATGACAAGTTTAGAGTAGACTTCCCTGTCCCTGCTGGCCACCCCTCTTTTGATGCAGCCCTGGATACCATTGGCCTTCCAGGCTGCAAGTGCACACTGCTGGCTCATACTCACCATTTCATTCATCAGGAACTCCAAGTCCTTCTTGGCAGGGCTGTTCTATAGGAGTTCATCTCCCAGTCTGTACTCATATCTAGGATTGCTTTGACCCAAGTACAACACCTTGCACTTGGCCTTCTTGAACCTTGTTAGGTTCTCAGGGGCCTGCTTTTCAAGTCTGTGCAGCATCCTTCTGAACGGCTTCCCTTCCTTCTGTTGTATTGACAGCACCACTCGGCTTGGTGTCAGCAGCAAACTTGCTGAGGGTGCACTTGATCCCACTGTGTTGATAAAGATGTTGAAGAGCACCAGTCCCAAGACAGACTCCTGGGGGACACCGCTCATGACCAGCCTCCACCCTGACATAGAACCATTGACAACAACCCTCTGGCTACAACTATTCAGCCAATTCTTTATCCACTGAACTTCAAATCCATATCTCTTCAATTTAGAGATAAGGATATGGTGTGGGACCATGCCAAACACCTTGCAGAAGTCCAGGTAGATGACATCAGTTGCACTTCCTTTATCCACCAATGCTGACACTCCATTATAGAAGGCTACTGGATTGGTAAGTCATGATCTGCCCTTGATGAAGCCAGGCTGACTGTCCCAGATCACCTTGTCATCTCACATGTGCCTTAGCTTTTCTTCCAGGAGGATCTTCTTCATGACCTCTGCGGGCACAGACGTGAAGCTTGCTGGTGTGTAATTCCCCAGATCTTCCTTTCTCCCCTTCTTAAAAATGGGAGTGATGTTTCCCTTTTTCCAGTCATCAGGGACTTCTCTGGACAGCTATGACTTTTCAACTATGATGGAGAGGGTCAGTCAACACACGTCCTTCAGAAGGCGTGCTTCCAGCCTGGGCTGGCTTAGCTGCAGGCAAGCGCTGCTCCAGAGCACAGAAGATAAGCACAGAAAATGCAGGCAGAAAAAGCATCCTGAGCTGCCAGGCAGCTTTTTTAAAAAGGGAAAAGGAAAGAGAGAGAAAGAAAGATGCACATGGAAGAAGGAAGGAAAAAGAAACAAAGTTGTAGAAAATCATTCAAAATCTATTAATTAACCCAAATTCACATTGGCAATGTGCTTGTAAGCAAAAACTGCCT